CCCAATGGATTAAGACTTATTTATTTAATCCATATGTATTGAACCTATGTAATTAATTCATTTTTATATTAGCCCATAAGAGTTATTTGGACTAATATATTTATATATAGTTCGGATAGTTTATTGAATTAAAATTTAATAAATTTTGCATGTGTACAACAAGACAGTAATCGCCCCTTCCGATTGCAAAGCTATGCATCACTCGCATGTTTGAGAAGCCCACTTCGAGAGATTGAAGTGGGAGTTTTTCAAGATTCGGCATATCAAATTCTGGTGTGGGGAACTTATGATATTTAGGTACAAACGGTTCAACAATGAGGAACTTGAGTTGTTCAATATTTGGTAATCTCCACTAGAACTCCGGAGTCATATCAGCCAAATATATACAGCATTTCCCGAAAGATTTCAAGTTCGGTAACACAGTTTGTGAAGATTCTTCGAAAATTGCTCGATCATTCTCTTCCCATTCGAATTCAATTTCCTTGATATCCACATGCCTTAGCTTCTGCATTTTCCAAAGACCAGCAGGGGTTATCTTACTTCCTACTATCATAGGTTCCCACCCCACCAGCAAAGTTTGCAGATCGAGTAAGTGTGATACCCACGGGAAACTAAATTCTTGGGTATGAATTGCAAGATACCTCAAGTGAGTTACTGCTTGCATTGCCCTAGCCCAAGAACTTCCCCTCAAGTAGACATTCGACAAATCCAGCACCCGAATAAGGCTAATGCAATCAAGTAAAAGGACATGATATGTCCAACTCAGGTCCCATTTATAGAGATTTGGATGAGCAATGAACTCAAGAGATCCTACTTCACTCAACTCCACCAACACTGGAATTTTATCCAATGAATAGCCATGCACCGCCAACTGCATGGCCAGATCGTCATGAACATATATACATAATCGAGGTTTCTTTGCACCTAAAGATTGGTCTGGATTATATGGGATTATGACCTGCATATACTTTTCTTTTGCAAGTTTTCTCAAGCAAAACTCACGCACTACATCATGAAGAGTGCAATACTTTATCTCACCATTATCTCTCCTTTTAGAAACCATTACAAGGCTTTTGCTCGCTAGATCATTCAAGAAATTTGTATATGCTTCCTCCAAGTTATCTGTGTCCGAATTCTGTACAAAATTTTCAGCCATCCACAACTTTAGCAAAATAGAAACCGGAAAATTGTAGTCTTCTGGAAACAATCCCATGTAAAGAAGGCATGCCTTTAATTGATCTTCCAGATGGTCGTAACTTGATTCTATTATCTTCATGCTTTGATATTCTAAAGCATGGGAACTTAATTCATTTGCGACCTTAAACCACAAAGAGGCTTGCCTTTTCTTTGAAATAATTCCAGCAATCAAGACAATCACAAGTGGTAATCCTTTAGAGTTTTTGGCAACTCGCAATCCTGCTTCGAGTAACTCTTGTGGACAGATTTCTCCTTGAAAAACTTTCTTCTGGAGTAATTCCCAGCTCTCATCCACCGTGAGAAATCGAAGAAAGTATGGATCGCTGTGGAGCTTAAGCTGCCTAACCACTTGTTCATTTCGAGTTGTTACCACTACTCTGCTTCCATCTTTGCCATGTGGGAAAGATAATCGCAACTCTTCCCATGCCTTAACTTCCCATATATCGTCTAACACGATGAGGTATCTCTTGCGCATTAGACTCTTTTGCAACTCGTGAGGTATGTCTTCATCTATTATACCATTCATACTGCCTACGACTTGTTTAAGAGTCTCAGAGAACACCTTCGTCGAGCTATATTCTTTTGAAATAGAGCACCATGCTGTAACATCAAAGTATCTATTATTATTATCAATAAAATGATTAAACACCTTTCTAACCAAAGTGGTTTTGCCGAGTCCTGGCATTCCAACAATCGAGATAATGTCCAGTTCCTTTGTTCCTCCAGTCAATTGTTGAATTATGCTTTCTGCATCATCCTCAAAACCAACTACTTCCTCTTCCATTGATGGAAGACTATGTTGGGTGGAAGCCGTTGCATGAGCAGGAGATCTTTCACCAACCTGAATGCTCTCCATGTCAATTAGCTTTGTCTCTCTTCGGCTGCTAGAAATAAATATTGTACTATGTTAGAATTGATTACTCGCTCTAGAATTAACGGAAGATTATTTCCTCGAAAATTAAAGAATATGCTAGTTGGTCAATTGCTCATTAATAGGGTGATAGTCTTTACCTTATGTATAATCCTTTTGAATTAATAATCTACAATAGCATCCTACTAACTACTACTACTAAAGATAGTAACTTATATCACTCTATAAATCACCACTTGTTTTGTATGATTAAATTTTTTTAACTGAGCTACCATTATTAGACTCAATAAATAAAAAAAATGTCATTTCACTCTCTTAATACATGCTGAGAACCCTCCAACTTTGTATCACATCTATTTAGGGCTGTTCATTTGGATCAGATATCCGAAATTCGAATCGATCCGTTCAATTTCGAATTTTGGATTGTATTTATTAAGATTTTGGATTTCTAATAGGATTCGGATTAGTATAATTTTAATACCGATATGATCCGATCCAAAATGCAAAATTATTAAGGTATGTATAAATACTAAACTATAATTTCGTATAATTAATGCTTTCTTTACATTTTCCTCTAAGTTATTACCTTTTACAAGTGATGGATTTAGCTATATTGGCACCATAGTATTCTCATAATTGCATAAACATGAATTTTTCTTACTGTATTACCTCTTTTACAAAGAAAATATACATACGAGTTTGCAACTTTGAGGCATAATAATCCGATCCGATCCGAAAAATCGATCCGATACAAACTTTAAAATCTGATCCCATTCGGATTGCATTTTCTAGAATTCGAAATCTGAAATCATTAGCAAAGCATAAACATCAGACTAATAAAGATTTTAAAAAGAATAAAAATCATTACAATAAATTTGAAAGATTTTAATTTTTGAAAAAGGATCCATATATAGACATAAGCAGAGAAAATCTCACCTTGCACTAAGAAAAGCCGCTGCAATAAGATTAAGTGTTCTGAATTTATGGTTTTGGAGTAGAGGAGTTAGGAATAGGAAAGAAGATGGTGTGAAAGGAGAAACTGAAGTAAACGAGTGGATTAGAAATGAAGGGGAAGACTCATAAAGTCTTTGCTTTTTAGTCTTTTTCCAGTTTACTTAAGGCATAGAAACGAAGGGGAAGACTCAAAGTCTTTGCTCTAAGTCTTTTTCCTATTGATTGCTTTAGTTGAAAAAGACGAGGTCTATTCAAATTACGCGGTCTTATTTTAAACTTTTATAAAAATAATAAGTTTAATTTATTTCTGAAAGTAGAAAAATCTTACGTATTAATGTATTTGTTTACCTCGAAAATACGAGTAACAATTAAATTTGATTAGTGATTTTAATGATATGTGATTTAGTTCATTACCAATTAATAATCAAGAAATATGAAGCAGAAATAAAAAAATAAAAATGAATTAAACTAATATTACTTAGCAGCAGTATGGTTGTCTAACGGGACGGGACAAAATTAACGGGACGGAGCGGGACGGGATGTGACGCCGTTTAAGCGGGACGATGGCGGAACGGTGGCGGAACGGTGGCGGGACGGGACGAAGAGAGTAATTGTTCTGAATTTATGGTTTTGGAGTAGAGGAGTAAAGAAGATGGTGTAAAGGAGAAACTGAAGTAAAGGAGTGATGATTCATAGTTGTGGTTGGGATTATTTAATTTAATAAATAAACAATTATTTACATTAATCAACCCTAGCCTACCCCCAATCAGGAAGGTGGCTATAATAAATATCCTGCAGATAGTTGTGGTTGGGATTATTAAGATGAATTCCATTAAACCCCCTAATCTTTAAGGGCTGGGAAACAATACCCCCTCACCTTTTGAATGGGAAAGGGAACCCCCTTGGGCAACTATTTCCGGTCAATTTTTTTTTTTTTATAAAAATCTTTTCTCTTTTGTTATAAATTAATTTTTTAATAAACTTTTTTTCTTTTTCTGGTTATAAAAATTTTTTCCGGTGAAATAATTTTTTTAAATAAAAATCTTTTCCGGTGAAATAATTTTTTTAAATAAAAATCTTTTCCGGTGAAATAATTTTTTTAAATAAAAATCTTTTCCGGTGAAATAATTTTTTTAAATAAAAATCTTTTCCGGTGAAAATACCTCCATAATGAATTTTCAAATGTGACATTATCAACTGTAATTTCTGTTCAATAAAAATATCTTCAAAATAAGTAAAGTTTAATAATTATTTTAGATAATAATTTTAATATACAAAAAAATACATAAATAAATTAATACTTATAGGCAGCAATTATTTCATCTAATATATATGTAAGACAATTGACTATTTTAGTGTATTTTTTCCCTTCAAATTGAAATGCTAAAGTATCCATGGTGAATGTGCGTTTACATATTTCTTGAATTTTTCAATATTTGCTATATATTGAAGCCATTGTTAAAATTTTACAATATATCGAGGAAAATTTTACAATATCTGCTATATATTATTTTAAATATATTATAAAATTTTAACAATGGCTTCAATATAACCTCAATTTAAAATAATATATAGTAGATATTGTAAAATTTTCCACAATATATTGTAAAATTTTAACAATGGCTTCAATATAACCTCAATATAGTAAAAAATATCTTAAATTTTACAAATTTCTTGAAAATATCTTAAAATTTACAAGATTTCTTGAAAATTTTACATAATTCTTGAATATATATGTAAGATATCTTATCTTTCTTGTAAAATTTAAGACTGCTTATAAAAAATCTTGCACCTAAAATTCAAGAAATATGTTAAACGCACATTCACCGATGCTTTAGAATTTCAATTTGAAGGAAAAAAATACACTGAAATTGTGACGACCCAGAGAGTCATCACCTGTTTTATTAGTCATTTCGAGCTTCAGAGGCCTTGAAAACCTCATTATCAGTTATCTCGATTTGCGTGCGCAGTCCGGGCGCAAAGCCAAAAAATTTATATGTTGAAATATTTGAAATATGTGAAAAATTTGAAGAATTTTAAGTATAATATTGATATAGTTGACTTCGGTCAACATTTTGGGTAAACGGGCTCGGACCCGTGTTCTATCAATCTCTGAAAATCCGTAGAAAAATATGGGACTTGTGCATATGCCCGGAATTGAATTCCGAGGTCCCAGGCCCAAGATACGAAATTTTATGTGAAAATTATTTTCTGAAAATAATTAAGGAAATTGAAAATGAATTTTTATCAAAAAGTAATAGTATCGGGCTCGTATTTTGGTTCCGACGCCCAGTACAGGTCACATATATGGTTTAAGCGCTGTCTGTTAAGTTTGGTCAAAATCGGACGTCGTTTGACGTGTTTCGGACCTAAATGGCTAAGTTGAAAGTTTGAAGTTAAAGTTTGGAAAATATGGATTTTCATGGTTTAATCCGTTGTTTTGATGTTGTATTGGCGATTTGATCGCACGAGCAAGTTCGTAGGATGATTTTGAGTCAGTATACATGTTTGGTTTGGAGCACCGAGGGCTCGGGAGAGTTTTGGCGAGGTGTCGGGTGCATTATTTCATAGCTGGAATGACTGCAGGTGTTGCAGACCTGCAGGCTTTGCAAATGCGAAGCCTGGTTCGCAAATGCGAACTTGCCCAGGTCCTCTTCTTTCTCGCAATTGCGAGCTAAGACTTCGCAAATGCGAAGTCCCCTTGTGTCCTTCTGTCACGATCCTAGTTCACCAACTGTGAACCTGTCATGACGGCACCTGATCGGCGAGACCAGGTAAGCCTAACACATTGCGGAATTCAACAATCATTATTAACAGTAACAACTAATAACTGAATAACAAGAGAAATGTATACCATGCTGCGTGGCACGTACATCTTACCCAATAAAACTTAAAGCAACTCCCAAAACCCGGAAACTCATAAATCACAAGCTAGGGAAAGTACATAAGGCTCCGACTCAAGAATGTCTATACAAATGAAATACTGAAATCAACTATACTATTACAGAAGTTGGAGAGGGACTCCTCGGTCTGCGGACGTAGCAGACATACCTCGAAGTCTCTACTGAATACGCCTCCTTCCAAGGCTGACAGAACTGAATGGGAGTACCTGTATCTGCACAACAAAAGTGTGCAGAAGAGTAGCATGAGCACACCACAGCGGTGCCCAGTAAGTATCAAGACTAACCTCGATGGAGTAGTGACGAGGAACAGTCAAGACACCTACCGGTCAATAACAATATAATCATATGAATAACAAAGACAATATATGTAATTATGTAAAGACTGCATAAATGACTAATGGTGCTACAGTTAACAATACGGAGAAAGGCAACAAGTAACAACGAGATCATAATAAACGATGACACGAAAGAAGGCAGAATCACAATCCAAGCCTAAGGTCACAACATAGCAAGAACAGTAAGTTACCAATTCATATTCTACGATAATGCTTACGTAGGGTCTTATCCAACTCTTCCCACAATCATTTCCCACACTTCGGGCAAGCCACAACTCACGGGGAAGCCCAACATCTGAAGTCTAATACCTGGCACCCTATGCCCCATAAATCTCACGGTCATGATGACAAGTAGTTGGCCAACTAAGGCCTCTTCTCCCATATATAGTGGTAAACGAGGGCGTATCTCCACCCTTAGTCAATTTGGAGGGAATTCACCTCTAATGGGGTGTCCAGCTACGTGTATGCTTGTGCAAGTGTGACTAGCAAGGATACTACCAACTAGAAGGTATAAGATATGGCACGGCCATCACCGAAATAGTTGCACATCTACAGCAATTCAGAACAGAATATACATGCTGGAAAAACCTGAATGTAATACAGAAATAACATGAAAAGGTACAGCTCAATACCAATGATGTCATAAGGATCTCCCAGGATACCGTCCTGTAGTCCTTTCTCAACTGTCCAGTAAATCTCCTGGGATACCGTCCCGTAGTCCGTCATGTCAATAAATATCTGTAGGATCTCCCGGGAATCTAACCCGTAGTCCAACATATCAATAAATATCTGTAGGATCTCCCGGGAATCTAACCCGTAGTCCAACATATCAATAAATATCTGTAGGATCTCCCGGTAATCTAACCCGTAGTCCAACATATCAATACATATCCGAAGGATCTCCCAGGAATCTAACCCGTAGTCCAACATATCAGTACATATCCGAAGGATCTCCCAGGAATCTAACCCGTAGTCCAACATATCAATACCCAGTACTGGGGGAATCTACCGGCTGCATTGCCGTAGTTCCATACCATAGTGCAGGGGAGCTACCGGAATCCTACATCCGTAGTCCCAAAATAAATAACAGGGGGAACTCCCGGAATCCCACATCCGTAGTCCCAAAGTAAACAGACAAGGGGGAGCTACAGGAATCCTACATCCGTAGTCCCAAAATAAATAACAGGGGGAACTCCCGGAATCCCACATCCGTAGTCCCAAAGTAAACAAACAAGGGGGAGCTACCGGAATACCACATCCGTAGTCCCAAAGCAAACAGACAAGGGGGGAGCTACCGGAATCCCACATCCGTAGTCCCAATGTAAAATGCACACCAACAGAAAGAGACAACAACATCCCATCAAGGGAGTCAGCAACAGATACAACAAGTCCCGGCAAGGGAATCAACAATACAAAAAGAGGTTCATGGAAATACAATAAGCACGATAACCTCAACAAGAATATCAAGGCATGAAATGCGTGATAGCTACACCGGTAATTACCACAATTGTCATATACTTGCACGTAGTCACTGATGAATGTACAGTCAAGGAATGTCCAACAATAAGGAAGTTAACATGGAACAAGTAATTACAATTAGGGAGTTATCAACTAAACATAGGATATCTACTTCCTTTCAATTAAGGGCAATTAGTTTTTCTGAGAAGTAAGGATAATGGTTTCCAATTAAAGGCAAGCCATCTGTATAGATAACATAGCTATAATAGGAATAACCTTCTCAGTTAAACAAGTGGAAGTCAACTAAGCGGCAGGATTAAACAAAAGGGCAAACAAACTGCAAGTAAGATATGTTGAAGTGAAACTAACAACGGGGAAACTTAATCACATCAGAAACAACTTCATACTCAGTGAATTCAAGGGTCTAAGAGTCTAAAGGGTCAATTTACCACAAATAAATCCGAGCACACACTCGTCACCTCG